CCCGCCTCTCGGTCTCTGCTCTCTCTTCTCCTCTCTCGGTTCCCTCTCTCTCCTTTCTCCCCTCTCGGTTCCTACTCTCCCTCTTCTTCCCTCTCGGTTTCTGCCTCCCTCTCTCTCGGTTCAGCATCAGAAAACCGAACCTCGGCCAGAATTCGGAAATTTGTCACTTTTAGCCCATTTTTGATATTTTTAACATTTTAAGCCCGTTTTTCGTGATTTTAAAGCGAGATTTTCTCCAGAAATTATATTTTAACATAATAAACTCTAAATATTCATAATTTAAACATATTTTGATGAAAATCATTATCTAAATAATAAAAATCAAATGGGTGAATTATTAAAGGTGGAGTGTTGACTTTGTCTTATCCAATGTCACAAGCAACCACCCCACACCCACTCTTTGACTAACCACACCTTCCCACCTTACCTAGGTCACTTCAATGTCCCTCACACTCAATTTACACTCATTTCCACGTTTTTAGAGCTGGAACAAACATCCTCTCTCCTCATTTTCTCTCATTTGCCCTCATTTCACCAAGTATCAAACACCACTTTTCTCTCAAATTTTTCCCACTCCAATTTCGAGATTCAAGGCTGATTTTCAAGTGTTCTTCCACTCTTAGTAAGTATAATTCATCCTCCTTATGATTATTTCACTTCATTCTACTCAAATCATGAATATCTTACACAAACTCCATCATATTAGCGTTAGAGCTTCGAATCTTCAAGTGATTCTTCAAGTGTTCTTGGGTCGAACACTTCTCTTCTTCAACACTTATCTACTGAAATCACTCAAGGTGAGTTCATACCCCTACATTTTCATGTTTTCTCAAGTTTTTAGGGGGGGAATACAAGTTAAAACACCAAGAACATAACCAAATTTTTCTAACAGCCTTCATCAGAAAAGTTCAACTCCATTCACGGACTGTTTTGGACAACTTAAACATTTTATTTTTCAAAAATGTACAAGGTGAAAATAGTTCAAGTTCTTAGCTTTAAAATGACTACTTGCACATCTCCATACGATTTTTCTACAATTTATGGTGAATTTTACAAAACTGCCTATCATTTCAAACACCAATCCGGACCAGTCTGTGATTATGGACTTTTTCACCCAAATTTGAGGTCATTAAAAATCTTGATAAAAATTATGAGTAAACTAGACACATTTTTTGAACTCTCAGAATTTACGGGTCTAGTTTTCGACTTCGTATGATTTTTCTATGATTTTTCTAAAACAGTGCTGAAAGACTAAGAATTAATTAACAGCTTCTAACTATCAAAACACTTTGTAACATGTTGAGCAAAGTGTTAAATCTTTGATAACTTCATATTTTACATGTATTTCTTGTCATGATATATTTATATAATAGGAAATTACTTGTTGAATTTATAAGAATCCTCCATCATAATCAATAGTACAAAACAAAGCAAGTGAATCATAGTTATATCGTACTATACGTTTGCCTTACATAGAGTGGGGTTCTTAAACACCACAAAGAAATATACTAAACTATAATAGGTATAGTTAGGGTACATATACATTTCAAACATTTTAATAAACTATAATAGGTATAGTTTATGATTATTTACATAACATACTTGTACAAAAAGGGGGGTACAAATACAAAGTACCAGGTTTTTATACAAAAGGGGGTACAAATACAAAGTGCCAGGTTTATATACGAAAAAGGGGTACAAATACAAAGTGCCGGTTTTCATACAAAAAGGGGTACAAATACAAAGTGCCGGGTTTATATGCAAAAAGGGGTACAAATACAAAGTGTCGGTTTTTATATAAAAAGGGGTACAAATACAAAGTGTCGGGTCTTTATACAAAAAGGGGGTACCGATACAAAGTACCAGGTTCACTTAAGATAGTTATTATGATATTAAAACTATATTGCATGTAGAACTGTTAGACTTCAACTATAATCGCTGAGCGTACATGTTTGAGTCTTATAAGAATTTTGTCTCGATTGGCCTAGAATTAGTGATGCCTGCCTCATCTCCTGTTCCTTGTTTGGTTGTGGACCTAGGGCGGACCCACTATATTCAACGTTTTATCTAATTTAAACCTTATATAACTTATATACGCTGGACGATTATAGAGGAACTCTACGAGTCATTCTAGGGTTCATTAATGCATCATAAAGGAATATTTCTATTCACACTTAACTAAGAAAATATTGGATTTTCTGCAAATCAAACTATATCGATTTTACAAGGAAAAACGGTTTCTACTTCAAACAAAACTCTTATGAACTCACCAACTTAATTGTTGACACTTTTCAAAACTACTTGTATTCTCAGGAAATCAGTGAAACAGGAAAACTTCATCGCTTTGAGGATGGGACGTTAAACCGTCAACAATTCATTTTTGTCATCATAATGTAATTGCTTTTGAAACATGTAAACATATACTTTGGTGTAACTTTTTCAATTATATATATGGTGGTTGTATTTACTTCGAGCACTATTATATTCGTTGTTGTGATACTGTACATGAAGTCCTCCACCCCCGGACGTTTCCGCCATCCTTGGTTTGGGGGTGTGACACAATACAAATTCAAAATCGTTAACACATATCTTTCCTACCTGCTTCAATTATTAAATTTAGATCAAACTTGTCAAAATCAAATTACAAAAAAAAACAAAAAAAAAAAAAAAAAAAAAAAAAAAACAAAACAAAACAAAACAGATATATAACCTAGTAATCAAATAACATATTTTTTATAGAAATAAATATCACAAATCCACAATTTATACTTTATATAATATTCTTAAATTATATCTTACCTTTTCATCTTTAATGGTTACTAACATATTTTTCTGCCTTATTGTTGTGACACCAATGTATATCAAAAATAAGAGAAAGAACTTTAAAGAATGAATGTTGATAGAGTGATCATTCATTGAAAACGCAGCAAAATTATTTATAGAGCCGCTAGGATTCTTCTATAGACAGCTAGAAGATCTGTATAGTGACAACCGGTGTGACTTCTATGAGAACACACCATTTAAAGTAACAATTTTGATTAATGTAAGTGAAAAATTATTTGGAATATTTACCAATTGTGATTGTTTCTACTTGAATGTGAACATTAACATTCTTGTAAAAAAATCAAACTTCAAATGAATCCTACATAACCAAATCAACAAACATGACAACACAAAAAGAAACCTAAATTGATATATAACCAATTAGGTTTTGTTGAATAATTTTTTCAATTTATCAAAATTTTATTTTATTACAAACCTATATGAGTAATCAATAATATAAGCAAGTGAAAGAAGTAATTGTTAATTTAAAGTTAGTAAAAAAAAATACAATATTGTGAAATTGCTTATAATTTGCATATTTGCTTATTGTCCTGGAGGTACCCAACTACTTGGACATGTATTATTATTTGGTTAATTAGTGCATTAATTACATTATAGAATATGAAATTTAACAGTTGTTCAAATTCATTTACACTTGATTTGTTAATAGAAAACAAATTTATAGTCATAAAAGTATGCTTAATTCAACAATTTTTTATCAAAATTAGTAGAAAACCGAGTTTCTTGAATAAACAAATCAAATACACAAAAATGAAATAAATAAAAAACAAAGAATTAAGCAAAGAACATTTGAAGATCATGTTAGAAAGGTATGACCTATATGATCTTTTTGGCACTTTTCAGTATAGTCATGGTTAATTTTTTTTCATCTTCAAGATGATAAGTACAAGTGAGTAGAAAAAATAAATTTATAAGCATAAAAATATGTTTAATTCAACAAATTTGTTATCAAAGTTAATGGAAAATATTTTTTTTCGAAATACTCAATTATTAAATATGTAGGATATTACCACTAAGGTATTTAGAATTTTGATTCATCTTCAAGCTTCAATACAAACATCAACTAATGATCATCACTTTCAAGTGAAATTCTCTGCAGATTAAACTTAAATATAGTAAATATAATCAATAACATTATAAAAGATGGTAAGTTTAAGAATAAATACATACAATTATTGAGTTAGATGGTTGGAAATCGAGCAATGGTAATTTAACATGTATCAAACCGATTAAATGGTAAGTTTAAGAATAAATACATACAATTATTGAGTTAGATGGTTGGAAATCGAGCAATTGTAATTTAACATGTATCAAACCGATTATTACTTCCAAAACTTGAGGTATTTACTATATTAGTAAGATTAAATTCAAGATAACTGTTTTTCCCTTGATGAATTTTGAAGATTTACGGTTATTTATCTGGAAAAAATGATATCATTTATATTAAATCAAATTTTCAAATTAATTGACTTGCTTAATTAATGAGTTTTAAATTCAATATCATTATCTCAAATTGATTTATTTTACTTAGGATATACCGGAAGATAAATTATAAATAATATTGATTTTATTTTTGACTCTTAAATATTTTGCTAATTTAATAGGATTAGATTAGATTTTATAAGTTAATGGCCAAATTATTGATATGTTTATTTAATGAGTTTTTTCAAAAAAAAAATAATAAAAACTAAACGGGTTTAAATTTTAAAACCAGAAGCTATAAATAAGATAGTTAAATTAAAAACAATATTAATTAAAGAAACTAATATATCGTATATAAAGAGAATAATATGTTGTAATTGATAATGAAATTATTGAATTTAAAGATTATATAATTATTAAAGATTCTATAATTAAATGTAATTGTGTTTGAATTTTATTTGAAGAATATGATATCAACAATCTAATCTAATAGTGAAAAACATAGGATTGAAATACAATCAAAAATCCTGATTGCTTCATTGATGAATTAAGAGTTCTCTTTTAATAATATTTAAAGATTGCAAAAAATGATAATGCATTTTCATTTTTACTATAACATTATACTTTATTTTTTTCTTATTACAAACACTTTTATATTACTTGTTATTTGCAGATTTTTCAATATAAAGAAAAAAAAAAACTGATAATACAAAAGATATAATAAAAACATCGTTAGTACATTGCATAAAAACAGAAAAAAAAAAATGAACATGAAAAGTACATTGCTATTTCTTGCATTTAGCCCTATACATAATATGAAATAATATTATAATAAAGTTTCATGGTGTAGGAAGGTGTAATTCAGCATTACATATATAAAAAGTAAAAACCAAACCAGCAGCAAGCGGCAAGCAATACCTTGTGTTTTTCTCTTTCTTTTGTTTTTCCACTTGTTCACAAAAACACCATTTCATTCAAATCAAAACTTAACCAACCAAAACCAAAACCAAAAGAAATGCAATCATTTCAAATCTCCACACTCACATCACAATCCACTCTCGTTCGATTCCTACAATGAAAATGATCAGGCTGATTGAGGACATTTACGTCTTTTTTGCACATGAGAGAGAGAGAGAGAGAGAGAGAGAGAGAGATTACAAGGGAAAGTGGAGTGGGGTGTGGGTATTAGCGAGGTAGCCGCTTACGGCTGAGAATCTCCTGCTCCTTGAGGCGATGCTGGAACCTGGCAAGGCGAGCTTGGAGGCTCACAAGACTTGCTGCTTTGCGTGACAGCACGAAACTTAACTGAGTCACGTAGTTGTCGATAAGGCTTCCTGGTTTATCAACTTCTGCCAGCAGTTTCATTTCCTGATTTCCATTCCATGTAATAACTTATAAGTAGTCTGTCTATTCATTTTTAATTTTTATACACGCAGCAATATTTAAACAATTTTCTCCTTACTTCACGGACTATTTCCATTGTATCTTCAATCTCTTTCCTGTGCGCTGCAATTAAAGCTTCTTCTTCCTACAATCATCAAACACCATCATCATCAAAAAAAAGAAAAAAGAATAGCTCGATCCCTGTTGCTTACGTTTAGTACTTACCTCAAGTATTTCATTGATATTCTCGTCATGAGGCTGTTCAACTTCGGTTTGTTTTGATGATGTCATCGTATAACTGGGTTGTTTACTACCCACACTTGAGAAAACATCACTACTATCCTTCTTCTGCCAATTAACACCACTTTTTCTTCGAGGTGGCGACACTTTTTGGACTGGTGTTTCTTCTGTATCGTTTGAAGTCAAATACACGTTTCTTTCCTTTTCGAAACCAGAAGCCTGCTGCCAGGTGTCATCGCGGGTGTAATTTGAGGATGATGGAGGAAGAGGTTGTTGTTTATCGAAATCTGAAGAGATGCTGTCTCGTTGTGGCTGTGCACCTCTTCTATTACCTGTATCTGTAAATACTATTTTTGTGTCTTCATTGTCAGAGAGGCTTAGTGTGTTTGCTGATGAAGAGTCTTTGGTAGTTGTTTGTGAGCTTCCAGCTTGATCTTTTTTCGAACCTTTTGAAAGGCTTTTAACTCTGTTGTAATATCAGATACATAATCAAACAAGTCGGGTTTTTGGGGTGCTCATAGAAAGAAAAAAAACAACATACCTATCAGCATATCTCAAGGTATTGAGAGTGTGTTCACAAGAACCAGCATTTGGTGAAATGCAAGATATCATAACAGTCCTTGAGTTTCCAACAAATGAATCGCGAAGAACTTCGGTCAGTTTGCTCCCACGAAATGGGATATGAAGCTGATCATTATCAAGTGCACGAATGCACTCCTTCAGAGCCAAAAGACTCTTATTGATTTCAGCTCCTTCAATCCTGTAACAAACACATTACAAATAAGGAGGAGTAAAACTCCAAAAGAAAAGCTTTGGGGACCAAAATTGTAATTTACTAAGAAAAAATACCGCGTTTGTCGGTCATTATCGGTAGTATCAGCACCTCTTTCACTGCCAGCAAGATCAATAAAGGAGATTTTTCCAACAACTTTGCCACCCTTTTCATTGCCATCATTATTATTATTATAATTATTCCTTCTGGTATCTTTTACCTCATTGTGCTTTTTAATAACTAGTTGTAATATAGCATGTGACCTTGAAGACTCCTCATTAGCTCCAGTAGAACCAGTACTTCTAGCAGAATTCCCTTTTTCAATGAATTCTTTAACAATTTGTACATCCAAAACTTCAAATTCTTGCAACCCAACTATGCAAACCTGTTGTCTTCCATCTTCTCTCATGCAAAGTTTCCTACATTGACACCAAATTAAAAAACTTGCTTTTTCTTTTTCATCCTTTATTTCAAGATTTTAATTATGAAATACTGACTTTCTATCGCTTAGTAGATCGTAGAGTTTTCCACCATAAATTTCAAAATAACTTAGCCATAATTTGAACTTTTGATTACGATATGCTGGCTGATGTAATAATCTAACAAGATCTTCTGCAGCTCTAAGAGGTAATGGTTGCATTGTGTATGTCTTCCCACTTCCTGCAATAAATATTTTCAACTCAAAACCAAAAATATAAATAAATAAACAAAAAGAAGCAAACCCTTAACATAAAAGAACAAGCATATACCTGTCTGGCCATAAGCAAAACAAGTTGCTTTTGTTCGCTGAAATATGATAGGAATGATCGGCTGTACAGTTTCACGATATACCTGTTTCAAAAAAAAATTAATAATAACATATATTAAACATTTAGTAGGAAAAGCCAATTCGAGCATATGTGGATGAAAGCTTGTACTTTAGGATTTCTTTAAGAAAAAAAAAAAAAAGAATTACCTCATCATTGGTTACTTGCTGGTCGAGAACAGCATCAAAACAGAACTCATGCCTTTCAACATAAGCAGTAAGGTCAACCTTTGAAAAAAGTCAAATGTTAGTTTCTAATGTCACACATGAAGATTTATATAAATTTATATAATTCCATCTTAACATTCGTATATACAAACCTTAAGCTTGGGTTCATGAACAGTTAGACTGTTGTCACATACACTCACAACATCATCTTCCTTGCGAGAAAGTTCCTTCTTATTCAGTGGTCTTTTGCGCACCTGAAATAAACATAATTTCTTTTCACTCCCAAAAACCATTTTTATATGCAAGAATAGAAATATGACATGAGGGGTATACTCTTCTAACAATCAGTTACTTTTAAATTTTGTCATTTCAAACTATAACTATAAGGATAATAATAGATAATATGGTTGAAAAAATGAGAGCTACATACCACGACTTTAATCTTGGCCACATTATTTTCCCTTGAGCTGATTTCTTTTTCGGGTGTTGGTAACCCAAAAGAAGCATCTACATCTGTTTGTCCTCTTTGTTGGCGGTATGGAAGGGTATCTTGGTCATTTTCGACTGCTTTAGTAACAGCAGGCATAAAAGGTGATTGCTCAAATGGTTCTGAGTCAACATTCTGGAAACAAATCAAATATGATTGTGATATGAGTCGCCAAATACTAAAACAACGTATGCAGGAATCATTCATGTTGACCTTAAAACATACATCCTTAAAAACAATCAACTAGATGTCATTTATCAACTTGCATAAGGGCTAAAAGGTATAATAGAACAATGAAATGCATACCTCTGTAAGAAGCTCAGTGTCATCCATAGCATGTAAATCCAATAGCCCTGCACCAAAATCACCCCTGAAATCCGGAGAATAAAAACCATCTGATGCACCAATTCCTCCAGAGCCTTGAGTTGTTGGAGAGAAAGGCTCAGAACCAGATTCACCATTGAAATTAAGGTTCCTCATTAATTTAAAAAGCCTTTGCTTTTCTTCAGCAGATTGTGCTCCATACCCCTGCAAACATACATAATAACACACCACATTTAACAAACATCATAACCAAATGGAATTGAGTCCATATATACTTCAACACACCACAAGAACTTCCTTGGGGAATTGGATAAAGAGGCTGTTGACACATAACTTATTGGTATGCATCAAAGTTTTATTCTCATAGGTCATATGTTTGAAAAAAAGTGAGAAAATGGGGAAATGAAAGGAAAAGGTAAATGAGGTGATTGGGTAGGAGGCGTTGATCAAATTCAATATTAAAGAAAATCTGAAAATACCTGCATGAGGAGATTGGGTAGGAGGCGTTGATCAATCCCATTTGATGCCACAGGTGAGGCCAGATGCTGTAGACCTGCAGACTGGAGCCATCTTGCCATTACAGCATCTCCAGCATCGTTAGCAGAACCTGCATTGTGATGGGACCCACCATCTGCAGATTGATCATACAGAGAAGTTGCAGAAGCATTTCTCTGTTGCATCTGGCCGCCCATGTGGCGCTGTAATCTGCGTTGGGGAGCCAACTTTTCTTTGAGGTTTAGTTACAGAGAAAGGCTTCAATCATGGAGCAAACAAACAAACAAAATTAGTTAGATATGATACAATAAAAGACAAGTAACCCTTATCCCCAACAAGCCAATTCTCCGTATACACTTTCTAATTGCAATTCTATTTTAAATTCTCTTTGTCGTCATGTTACAAACGCTGATGAACACAGAAGGTAATACCATCTCTCATATTACCATTTCCAATTCCCAATTCATAACCTCCCCAAATGTTAGCATTAAAAAGATACATACCTAAAAATGAGGGAAACTTCGAATTGAAGCGGATGTGAAGCGTTTTCAAATACAAGTCCGGTTCAGATCAGATAAATCTGGAAATCAATCGATTCTCGAGCATGCAGATCAATCCCCTTAACAAAATCCCTACACATTTCAATAACAACAGAGATAAGAAGATGAACCGAATAATGCAGACGCGAATAATCTCCAAATTTACATACTCGTATAAGAAATTACAAACATTACAGAGAATTGAAATAGACGCACCTGTTTGAATCAGAAAAAAACGTAGAAATGAAAATCGGGACGGACGAAAAGGCAGATCTACAGGTAGTTTGGTTAAACATAAAACCCTAGAATGGATTACGTGAGATTGATGTGGTTGAGGAATGAGATTTCCATGTGCGATTATGATGATAGGGGGAGGAAGGCGTACACAGCTTTAATGGCTTTTCTTCATTGTTAATCATATAATACGCAGATACAGCCTTTGTTACAAAGCCTCTCTTTCTCTTTCTCTCTCCTCTTTCTCTTTCTTGTGTATATTTTGGGTGGACGGTGAGTTGAAGGAGTGCGTTAAAAGTTAAATACGCCTAACTTTTAAATATCGTTTTCATTTTAATTTTGAAGTAATGATAATAATTATACAAATGTTTTAAAGATAAAATGAATATAATATTTTTCATAGCTCATAGGGTAACATGATTTAATGATTTAATCATAGTTATATTTAGTTACTAACCAATATGGATAGTATTTATTGGTGATAAACGAGGATTATTAGTCAACAAAAGTTGTAGGTCTATAAATTAAATGATTGTTGTAAATTGATCTGACACATATAATGAAAACGAATTTATGTATTTTATTAATTTGGTCAAAAGTCTCGTTGAGTTTGACACCAAGTCAACACATAAGATTCCTCCACATTATTTTTAAGAGAAATATATGTTGGTTTTTAACATTCTACAATTAAACTTTTTTTAATTAACCACCTTCAAATGATCTCGTTAGAAAAGACTGATGAAAGTAAAATGTATTAATATCAATTTTTGAATAAACGAAGGATCATGTAGTCACACAGTAACAATAACATAATCCAAATCCCATTGGAACGAGGAGATCGTAGTCATTTCTTTTAAATTTATTTGATCCAACGTATAGGTGTACACAAATAATTTCACATGATAATCCAGCATTAGGCAATTAACGTCTTTTGCGCAAGAACATTAAGGTAATGAACATCGTTCGTATGAAAACTTTTAAAATTCTTAAAACAAGCCAAAATGATGACTTTTTTTAGTATTTATACTCTTGGATGAAAATTTATTTTAGACAAAACTTCAAAAATGGTCCCTGTGGTTTCCAGAAATATCAAGTTTAGTCCCTAAGTTCAAAAAACCTCACAGATGGTCCCTGTGGTTTCAAAACTTTTAACAAATGGTCCCTCCGGCTCACTCCGTTAGCATTTCACCGTTAACTCATTTTTTAATAAAATATTGCAGGGGTAATTTCGTCATTTCAGTTGTAACCTCCTCTCTTTAATATGAAATGATTACTTGCTTGCACATCACTACCCGTCCCTCTCCCAAGAAGATAACCAGTTACAGGTTTAGTCATCGGGTTCATTCCCATCGAAGAAGCAAGAACAGAAATTGGGATTTAGGGTTTTAAGCTGCAGAAATTGCAATGGTGCTATCAATATGGTGTTTTCGAGAAAAATTTGTAACCGTGGAGGACTTAGGAAAAACATACGGTACAATACTACAACAAAACTTGTTTTTTCTTGGTCTATTGTGTTGACGTAAGGAAATCATTGATTTTACTCTTTCTTTTTTTTGTGTTTACAGAAGGTTATGAGAACTATTTCACGTTGAAGATACACTACAGTGGTGTCTTCACCAAAGCACCTGGAAGGAAATACGTTGATGGTGTTGTAGCATATGTAGATTATGTTGACACTGATTTATTTTCAGTTCATGATCTTGACGACATGGTTCGAGAACTAGGGTACAAAACTGAGCAAACCCTTTACTACCATTTCTGTATCCCTGAATACCCTTTGGACTATGGCTTAATGCCTTTAGGTAATGATCAAGATGTACTTAAAATGGTATCATATGTCCCTAAACACAGACTTATTAGGGTGTATATTGAAACTGGTCAGACAAGGGTAGGTAGTTATTACAAGTCTCCTTCTAAAGTTGTTATTGAAGAGTTGGAGCCTGATAGTGTGTCACCTGAAATGAATAGAAAGAAACCTTGTAGGAGAGAAGCAGGCTCATGTAGTAGAAAGCTTGATCTAAACAAGTCTATGAACCCTGATTATGAGCAGTCACAAGTGTTAGATGTTGATGAAGGCCATGATTACTCAAAGAGTATTGTACCATTTATAAGGTCACAAGGTAAAGAAAGTCATGTCATTCAAAAGGAAGTGGTGAATCATGAAATTGAAACTCAAGAAGAAGTGATCACTAGTGCAGTTGAAACTGAAGAACAATTGGGAACTTACCATGTACAGGAACCAAGCTGCCAAGCTGATAATGGAGCTAATACTACAACAGTTGATGACTATGAACCATTTGTAGAGGATTACTCACTTTATGCTGATTATGATGCTGAGTTTAATGTTCAAACTTCATTTGAAAAACAACCAGAAGTGGATTATCTAGAGGGTATGGTGAGTGATGATAGTGGAGATGCTTTCTACTCTGAGAGTGGCCATGGTTCTGAGGATAGTGGAGATGATTCTGATGACAGTGAATACAATGTGGATGAGTCTAACATACAATTTGATGTAGATGTAGACATGAGTGAATTCCATAATGCTGTTGATGTAGATGAACATGGAATCTTGAACAATCATTCAAAAGATGATGGGATTGGAGTGGTTGACTTTGATAATGAGTTGGAAGTTATTGCCACTGATGATTATCAATTTGCAGGATTTCATGAAGATGATAGGAAGAGACTGCTAAAAGAGTTGAGTAAGTCAAGTACATGCTCACATGGAGAGGTTCATGTTAAACCATTTCAGATTGGTCAGGTCTTCAAAACCAAGGTTGATGTTAAAAACTACATGAACTCACATGCTGTAGCAACAAGGAGGTCTTTATACCTAGCCAAAAATGACAAAATCCGGATTAGGGTGAAATGTAAAGGTGTTGTAAGTAAGCCTTCTACAGGAGTTGATAGTGGTGGGCCCTCAACCAGAAGTAGGGCAAAGTGCAAGGGTAAAGATGTAATTGCCAATAAAGGTACATGTCCATGGGCAGTCCAAATATCGAGGGCTAATGAAAATCAGGATTGGTTGGTGAAAACAGTACAGGATGAGCATAAATGTTTGCAAACAAGGGCGGTTAAAGCTTGCACTTCCAGATACGTAGCAAACTTAATTGTTCAACAAATACAGAGTAACCCTAAAATTCCAGTGAAAGCTTTACACGAAGAGTTGTGCAAGAAACTGGAGGTAGGAATGTCATTGCAAAAGGTCGCTAGGGCAAAGTCAATGGCTGAGCGTATCATTAGTGGGGACTACCAAGTACAGTATGGATTTTTGAGGGATTATGTGTTGGAGCTACTCAACACTAATCCTGGTACAACAGTTAGGATTGATGTGTATCCAGAAACCTCCCTGTCTGTTACCACAAGAACTTTTAGAAGAATATATGTCTGTTTAGGTGCATTGAAGTTAGGATTCAAATCTGGATTAAGAGATTTTCTAGGTCTGGATGGTACTTTCATGAAGGGCCCTTACCCTGGGCAAGTGTTAACTGCTGTAGGGTTGGACTCAAACAATGGCATATACCCTGTAGCATATGCAGTGGTAGAGACAGAATCAACAAGTAGCTGGACCTGGTTCTTGGAACTGTTAGGAGAAGATCTGGATCTGGGACCAAATTCAAACTTTACCTTCATTTCAGATAGACAAAAGGTGTGTACCACCTAACTTTTTTATTACCTTTACTAAATACATTTGGTTAACTAATGTTGATTACATTGACTTTTGTTTAGGGAATAATACCAGCAATGGAGAAAGTATTCCCTAGTGCAGAACACAGGTTCTGTTTGAGGCATATCCAGGAAAACATGAAGAAGCAATGGAAAGGAAAAGACTTAAGTGACCAGCTTTGGGAGTGTGGTAGAGCAACAACAGTCAATCATTTTAACAGAGCAATGGATGAGTTGAAGAAGATCAATGCAGAGGCTCATGCTTGGGTGTCTAAGATCCCAGCAAACACTTGGGCTAAATCTCACTTTAGTGGTAAGTTTCTAGAAATTTATTGAGAATTGTTAATCTTCCCTTTTGTGTGTTTACTATATGTGTAATTGTCTTCTGTTAATATATATTATTCAGGAAGGGCACATACTGATTGTTTGTTGAATAACCTTTGTGAGGTATTCAATTCAAAGCTAGATGAAGGTAGGGATAAACCTATTATCACTTGCTTAGAGTATATTAGAGAGTATCTCATGAAGAGGTTATGTGTGGTGCAAAAGGAAATAGATAAGTGTGAAGGACTTCTAACCCCTACTGCAACTACACTGTTTGAAAAGATTAAGGCTGATGCATCAAAGTATGTGGCTAAATACAATGGGGCAGGGAAGTACCAAGTGGCAAGCACATGGCAAGACCAATATGTGGTAAATTTGAATGATCACAGTTGCAGTTGTAGGTTTTGGGAGATTACAGGTTTCCCATGTAGACATGCTGTTTGTGCTATATGGGACAAAATTGAAAATGGTGAAAATGCCCCACATGTTGATGAATGGGTCCATCCTTGCTATAGGTTATCAACATGGAAAGCCATGTATTTCAACAAAATTGATCCATTGAATGGACGTACAATGTGGCCTAAAAGTGACTGCCCATTCACTTTACTTCCACCAAAACATAAGACACAGGTTTGTATTTAAAGTACACAAAATATATAGTATACATGTGAACATGGAATGAATTCAATTTTAACTATAGTATATCAACATGTGTAGGTTGGGAGGCCTAAGAAGAAGAGAAGAAGGGGTGTTGATGAGCCAAACAGCCAAGCTGGTAGATTGAGCAGGAAATATTTGGCAGTCACTTGTTCAAAGTGTCATAACAAAGGGCACAATTCCAGAACATGTAAAGGGCAGGGAGGCAGTGGTGAAGTTGGAGGAGGCTGAAAATTGACTTTTTAGTGGTTATTAGGATGTTGGTGTTGTAGGTATTTAGAAACTTATGTAATGTGTACTTGTTTGAAGATGTGTTAAGAACTTGAAAACTTTGCATGTAATGGTGTGTATGCACTTTTTGGATCATGGTTGTGTTAAGAACTTTATAACTTTGAATGTAATGGTGTGTATGCACTTTTTGGTGATGAATTAATATGTTTTGTGTACTACCCTTCACTTCACAGATCAATTAATAACAATGTACATTTCAATTGCAAATGAAAACCATCTTCAAGATGCAATTACAATACACTTAACAATTACATTTCAAAAACATTCAAGAAATTGAACAATGAACTATAACAAACTACATTCCATTACCATTACCATTACCACTGCATTACACATTAATCTGATACATAAACCAAATACAACACCACCAATTCCAAAACCACCTACATAAACTGAAAGCAAAAAAACCCCTATCCGATTAAAATAAAAAAAAAACCCTGCAATGGTTACAAACCAAAAACCAAAACTCCATTACCATCCAAACCTTCAGAAGATATTTAGAGATTAAAATAATACCAAAAAAAAACACCCATGAACAAAACAACATCAGCTGGTAGTTCCACAATTCTGCAGTTACAATGGCGACCCTCTCCTCCAATCGATTCTTTGATCTTATCAAACCTGGAATCACCACCAATGCCCTAGCACACATAGGGGGATCAGACCATCGAATGAAACCACATCTTTTACAGTTCCAAAATTGCCTTCCAGGGTTACGATCCGTCCATGAAGTGATCTTCGTTGCTTCATTCCCACATCTGCAAGTCACCATCTTTGAATCAGAAGCGATTGGATGTCGTGAAGGGTGCAACGGTCGAGCAACAGTGGAAAGGAGGAGAGATGATCGACTGATGAAGCTAAAGGATTTGCCCAAAAATCGGACATGCAATTTCTTTTAAAGAGAGGAGGTTACAACTGAAATGACGAAATTACCCCTGCAATATTTTATTAAAAAATGAGTTAACGGTGAAATGCTAACGGAGTGAGCCGGAGGGACCATTTGTTAAAAGTTTTGAAACCACAGGGACCATCTGTGAGGTTTTTTGAACTTAGGGACTTAACTTGATATTTCTGGAAACCACAGGGACCATTTTTGAAGTTTTGTCTTTATTTTAACAAAATGGTTTCCGGATACTAATGTATACATAAGGTGCCCCACCTTCTGGAAATTCCTAAGGGCAATCATTTCTAGAATGTGTCCTCAAAGTTAAGACTCACAAATATATACCACATATAATCAACATGTTACCAACTAACATGTTACCAAGTGAACCAATTAAATTGATAGTCAATATGTTTGATAGCCAATACGTTTGACTGGTATTACTATGCCAATTAAGTTAACTTGATACCGTAACGGTACAAAATTTTGAATATCACGATTGTACCGTACCAAACAATTCATATATATATATATATGTGTGTGTGTGTGTGTGTGTGTGAAGAAATATTATCACATTTTTATGTTTCAATTAAGAGTAGCAAGTCTGTAAACAGCATTACGTATACGTTACTCAAAACAAGAAAATTAAAAACAATTAACTAACCACTTTTTAGACTAGTGTATCATTTTTTGTTATTTCTTTATAGATAATGTTTACAATCAAGAGGTGAAACAGTCGTGTATTACCGTATAACAACGTGATGGGTGAATACATTTACTTTGCATTGTACATGATAGTTATTTTATTTTTTTATGCGTATAAACTATAATAAACCTCGATAGCAATTTTTTTTGATTATTTTGTTTTTGATTTTGGAAAATTTTCTAGCCACTGTTGATGATTACAATGTGAAGCCCAATATAATAAATCAAGTGTCAAACTTAAAATATAAAAATTAGTTAAAGTTTTTGGTATATACTAATACCAGTACGTATCAACCAAATTTTTTGGTAGTTAAATAAATTGATATCATGTATAGTTGGTACGGTACTGCTAGTTAAATTTTTCTGTCAACTATAATTGGTACGGTACGTAGTTTGAAGATAAAAAAAATGATACCGTACCAATTCGATTCCTACTAAAAATAACCACTCAAGTTCTTCTAAGAGAATCCAAAAGACATCCACTTAAGCCTTTCAAGAGGATTGCATAAGGCAAGCATTTATGCTTTTTCATAGTCGTCCAAAATGCATAGAATGCATCTACTCGAGGCTTTCTAGAGGCGTCCAAAAGACATCCACTTATGTTTTTCCAGAGGCGTCTACAAAGCATCCACTTAAGCCTTTCAAGATTGTCTACAGGGCACCTACTTAAGCTTTTCAAGAGACCTCAAGAATCGCTTTACATGAAATTTTACAAGGCAGGAGAGAGAGTTATGGAGGGCTATAGTAAGTTAAAACTTTCAGCATATCTTGACTAAGTAAAATTCAATACAAGTCAAACTTATATTTTTTTATTTTTTGACTAAATCTTAATGTAATTCAATCACTTAATTAGATATGGTTGCTAGTGTCTCACATCTCCGGTTTAATATAGAATCTAGTACAAAACAGTACATTTAATAATTGATCTTTAGCAAGCCCAAGGACTAATGTGACATTTTAACTAATGTGACGTTTTAACTAAAATCAACCATAACTCATCAAAAGATAATATCGATCTAACCAAAGCACTCAAATAACCCAACTGCAACTCACAAACCACAATCATATTTGATCATATTTAGTACATAAAATGTTGAAAAATAATTAGATACCAACACCCTTTTTAGCAATACAAAGGGTACAGGAGTAATTTCACACTACAGTTCTACATATCATCCGGGCTCATCGGACCTTAAAAGATAGGCCGATCAAGAACATTGGATGACAACAATTAATTTGATAGTTATTTTGCATATCTAAGACACTAGCCAGACCAGTCTGAATCTAACCAAACTGGTCTGAGTCTAGCAAGACCGGACCAGGACCAAATAGTGTGGTCCGGTCTGTCCGGTCTTAATGTGAACTCTATTACTACGTAAAACACGGTTTTTTTGTTTGCTAATTTTTCGTTAAGTTAAGCTCCCGGGCAACTTGGGAAAGGTGGAAGTTCATTGATGATGACTTTGGGCAAGTTCTATCTGCCTGCCCGGATGATCTTTGCTGCCCGTTTGTTGTTCGGTCCCATCAGAGGTCAAGTCTTCTTGCCCGGGAGTCTCCCCTAGTCGTTCCTGCAAAAAAAATGAGTGCAATTATTACACAATATCTTACCTTTTTATTAATTTATACAACAATGTTTTACTCTATTACTAATTTACTAATGTTAAATTATTAATGTTATATTTAATTTAATTAATATAGTTACCTTAAGAGACGCATTTTGAGCAAGAAGCTCCTCATACTCGCTTCTAAGGCGACCCACTTCTGCTCTAAGCGAAGAATTTTCATCCTTTAAAACTTCTGCCCGTTGCGCCAGCTCATCACATTCCGCCTGACCCCACAAAAATAGATGTTATTATTCGTTATCAATATGGGTAATGTAATTTGTTTTTTACTCATAATAGCAATGTACTTACATTTTATTTACTGATCATAGCAATATATATAACATGAATGTTTACAAGCTTCATGTTACATATTGCTATAATTAATAAATAAAAATATAAAATAAAGTATACATTTTATAATTTCATGTTACATATGGCAATGTCCTTTAAGTATGTTGCTATTATGGATAAATAAAAGAGTAGTTTTAATAGTTCATGTTAGATATTCCTACTATTGGTAAAAAATATATATAAAAATACAAGTAAATTACGATTATAATTATAATTATATAATAAAGTATATTCTATATAAGTAAAGTATGTTGCTATTTTGTGCAATTCACTACCTGTTTGCGCAATCTGGATCTACGAGCAGATTCCCTATTAGATTGCTTCCTTCTCTGTCTTTTTAGCTCCCTTTCATCCTGAAATAAAGCATCAAACAATAAATGAATAAGACTTTTAAAAACTGATGTAAAATTATGAAACTTATATATAAATAATTACTAAACATAAATTTATCCACACATGGCCAGAAAATACATAACAAACATTACACAACAAACAACAATTTTGATGATAAAATGAAAAAAACAACCATGCTACAAATACAATGCTAATAATAGGATTTGAAAAGGGTATTTCTGTGGAAAAAGACGTAAATAGCCTCATACTCAATCTCATCATACAAAATAAAAAATGAGAACCTGAAGCCAAGGCTGCAACTGCATGTCCCTTGAACCTGTAGTAACCAGCCCCCCTGCAACTGGAGCAGAAGTAAGCTTCCCATGAACATTGGAGGAATTTGTCCCACTCCAGTAATCCATACCAATATTTAAGTTGGTTGTGGGGCCCACAACCATTGTTTGGTTGTTGCCCACATTTGGTCCTCCATTTTGAGAAACATGTCCCGAATTTCCATTTTGGGAAGCTTCCCCTGTAGCTAAAAAGTCATTGTAATATTATACACAAGTTGCTTTAGTAAACATAAACCAAAAGAAAAGTGATGACTAGAGTATTATAAGTATAAGACACTCATTGAATCAAACCTTCAATTGAATCTTGCCTGGATCCTGACTTCATTTGTGAATCCTGAAAATTTTATTACACAAAAAAATATATATTATTGAACATAAAAAGACAATATACATATAGATTGCACATATACATTGTAATACAGCTAAATAAACAAGAATACTCGAACTAAATTTAGATTTTTCTGGTTCTAAAGAATGTCATAATTGTAATTTCATTCTTATATGTTATTGTAAAATGTTAAATAAAATCATTTTACAGCTCTCAAATCGACAATTATTATAATGAACCAAATATTAATAAACAAATACTTCTTTTAACAACAAAGATAAGTATTAAAGTAACATTGAAAAACTAACTTATCTAATTTTGTTTTTTTTTTTCACACTGAAGAAGATTTTTATGACCAAACATCTTCCATTTTCATCTTTTATTTGTTTCTCCTTTTCTATTTTTCTGATTTCCAAAATGGCCCAAGAACACCACAACAAATGCTATTTCCTTTTTCTCAGAATTAGGTATTTAAGTGTTTCTTTAGCATAGATAGCCTATATAAAAAATGAAAAATAAAACACATAACACAGTAAATTTAATCTTCAGGGTGTGAATATATATATATATATATATATATATATATATATATATATATAAACATGTAAAATGTAAAAAAGTAGTTTGCAATGATACCTACATTTTCAGAATTCCCATCACTTCCTGCACTTGAACCTTCACTTCCACTCTCAGCACTGAAAATCCAATATCAACAAAATAGAACTAATTTCAGAAAGATTAATATAAAGTAAAACTCACTATTATAAATAATCAAAATAAAACAAATTCCAGAGTTTCATCCAAATTTATATACACATAACTAATATATATACTCACTATACCTTTTAGGGTAAACTCCATTAGCAGATGCACCAGTTTTACTCTGTTCATTATTTTTGCCAGTAATCATATTTAAACTTCCAAGACTACCCTTTGACCTTTTAATTGGAAGTTTTTCTTTTTCTTTTTCTTTTTCCTTCCCATCTGGTGACTTACCATCAATTTCTGTATTTCCAGGAGTATTATTACCCTACATGGAATTCAAATTTCATAATCAAAAAGTTAATTATTTTTCACTCTAGAAAAAAAAATCATATGAATTTAGGCAACTCACGGAAGCCTCAACAACACCATTTGGAGAAGGCATTGCATATGGACTGAAAGGATATGACCCCTGGTTAAATAGTAAATACATAATGAAGTTTATAATTATTGTATTTTAGAAAGTAAAGAATTTAGGATATTAATATATTATTATGATTAATAAGAAGATACCGGAGGCATAGATGGATGAGCATAAATGCCACCAGGGGGATACATTGCAACATATGGATGAGGTGGGGTACCATAAGGTGGCATAAGATGCTGCAATTGCACATAGGTATCAGAAAAAAAAATGGAAAATAATTTGAGGATGAAATGACTAAAAACTAAAAAGTAATATGTTCTCTATGCTAAATAGGAGTTCTTTTTTTTATAATTCAATAATGTTTAGTTGGAACTTGGAACTATTTATGTTGAATATTCTTGCATTGAGAATCTATGATTCAACAATGTTATCCAAATAACTGGTAGAGTTTAAAAAAGTCAAATGCATGGCCTTTCTCATTAAAGATTGTAATAATCTATTTAAGCTTATCTTACAAAACATCAAGGAAAATCATTTTTTTTTTCTTTTGTGGCAACAATGTTGATTCATTGTTCCCTGATGAATAGTAATTGTGAGATGAATATAGATATAATCTAAATTAAGAATCTGTAAAGCAAAGTACCTGAACCCCCCACATGTATGGGGGAGGAGCTTGAGGGCTTGATGCCATGTACCCATGTGGAGGCATATGAGGATAAGGCTGTTCAAGTTTTATAATTTATATACCACCTAGATTTAGTAAAATATCCCAAATCTTAAGAAGACCAAATTATCAAAGTTGAGATTTTTTGAGATGAAACCTGAAACCCTGTCCAATCTGGATTGACTGTACCAGTGGCAGTACCTGAAGTCTGCTCCTGAATAAAGTATACAAGATAAATCCATGTTACCAAAGTACATTGTAGCTACATAAATATGAAACATGTTTATGCAACAATGCCTTTATAAGCCTAAAAATGGATAAAGAGAAAGAAATTCACTTGGGAATTTGGTGTCTTTGGCTCCTTTGTGGAGTCTTTTGCCTCCTTGGCGGGTTTATCCATCTCACTGCTTCCCATTACTCAAAGGAGTACAGCTTGAAGTATCCTACAACCATCCTGCAATGGATTTGAGAAAACATACATTAATAGATAGAAATAAGAAAAACATAAAAGGATTTGCAATTTGAAGAAGGTAGGGTTACAGATTCGTCTGAATTGGACTGGAAGCTCTAATTCTGCACATTTGAATTGGTCCTCTCAAAACATAAATCAGACTCTTATACAGTAAGAAATAAAAAAAAAACTTCCTAAATCGGCGTGTATGGGAATTTGATCGAATTCCGATGCCAGGAAATGGCATTATCGTTCATCAAAGTCGAAGGTGACATCACACCAGAAGGTATTATACTTTCATTTAGAAAAGGGAACTGACTTTCCCCGAAAATTTCACAATATAAACATAAGGGAAAGAGATTTGAAGTAACTAATCAAGAACCCTACATAAACTGCACTGAGGTTCACCATTCATGTCGCTTAATTATGAGCTTTAGATGAATCGAATTACCGGAAAACCTTGCGAACAGAAAATCAAACACACCGAGCTCTTTGCAATTGCAATTACAACCTAGATCAAGCTCGAAACCCTAATCACAGAAAGATTAAACGGACAGATATGAGAAGGTGGGTTTTCTGGAGAGATCGAATTCAAATTCGCGTCGATGCAGGTATGTAGAGTCGTCTCTGTTTCACGAGCGAGCTACGAATTGATGCAAGGTGATTGTGACTAGAAAGTGATTGATCAAGCGTTGAGTTTGTTTCAACGGGTGGATTTAGGTGTAGCCCATAACATAATAAAAAAAATATTAAAATAGTATATTTTTACATTAAATTTTAAAATTGTTTTGTATTTTGGAATATCGATTAAACAAATTAATATATAGGAGTTAATTAACAAAATAAGGGTAAATAACATAAAAAAATACTATTTTTACACAGAATTTCGATTTTGACACCGTGTTATTTTTTGTGTCAATTTTAACACTGTGTTTTTCAATTTGTTACAATTCTGACCACTTGACCGGTTAACCAGGTTACATGCTGACGTAGCATGATAACGTGTCAGTTTTGATGACGTGGCATGCTGACATGTCAAAATTGAATTTTCTTTTTCTCACAAAAAACACTAAGTTTTCATTTTTTCGATTTTAACACTAAGTTTAGTTTTTTCTTTCAACTTTGACATCAAGTTTTTTTGTTCCAAATCGAACATTATTTTTTTCAATTTTGTTCAATGTTAACAATTTTCTATTTGAAACCGTATAAATATTTTTTAATACATTTAAACCGTATATATATGTTTTTTTTCATTTAAAAACCATAGTTTTGTATAAATACATTTTTTTACACTCAAACCATATCTTTATATTTAAATATGTATTAGTTATATAAAAATTGTATTTTAGATTGAATATGCAACTTTAAAATGTGTTTGGAGGTTTGAAGGCGTGTAGTCGATCAAAACTCAGATATCAAGTTTGTAACTCATCAAATTTTTACATCCTATTAGAAGTTTATGGTTAGTTTGATTCTCATGATATAACTAATGTTTTGAATGTAAGAAAAAACACACATTGTATTTAAATAAAAATGTGGTTTTTAAACGAAAAACATATGTTTTTACGGTTTAAAATGTAATAAAAAATATATTTATACGGGTTCAAATGAAAAATAAACAAAATTGAACAAAATTTGATAAATGATGTTCAATTGGAACAAAAAAACATAGTGTCAAAATTAAAATAAAAAATTAGACTTAGTGTCAAAATCGAAAAAAAAAAGGTGAAAACTTTGTGTTTTTTGTGGAAAAAAAATCAATTTTGACACGTCAGCATGCCATGTCATCAAAACTGACACGTCAGTATGTAATCTGGTTAACCGGTCAAGTGGTCACAATTGTAACAAATTGGAAAACACAGTGTCAAAATTGACATAAAAAAACACGGTGTCAAAATCGAATTTATGTGTAAAAAGAGTATTTTTTTGTGCCATTTACCCAAAAGAAATTGTCTTATTTCAGAATTGAAAAAATAACTACTTCTTCGAAATGTTCATTACACACTACTTATGAGTTGAGTTGTTGGTTGGTTAAAGAGATGACATATAGTAATTTCAAAATTTGGTATCGTATATTCTTTATATAGTACGTTACAACTAATATTATTGTAGTTTGGATTGTAGAGTATACTATAAAGACATTCCAAAGTAATTAAAATCAACTTTATAGATCATTATTGGTCTATTTTATAGATATTGTTTAGAAATTATTTAAAGGTTGTCAATCTATATTTTGTTAGTGAAAATGGGAATATGTAATGGTTTTATTAGAATACATGTTTGTAGTGGAAGATAATGAGAGCTAATAGACGGCGGTATGCATTATATTGCTCCATATCGTATATGTTATATGTTGTGATGTGGATTAACCGACAATATCATTTTAGGTGGGACCCTGATATGTTGCGGCGAGGTCGGCTAGCGGGTCATGAGGATTACCGAGGTGGCACTCAAGACGACTAAGATGATTCAGAAGGTTCGTGGTAGACTTCAGATAATGCAAAGTCGTAGAAGAGTTACGCAAACAAACGTTGGTCAGACTTGGAGTTCCAAGTCGCGAATATGGTACTCCTGAAGGTCTCACCTTGGAAAGGTGGCATCCGATTCAGGAAGCGGGGCAAGCTAGGACCCAGATACATTGGTCATCTTAGGATTTTAGCCCTGGTAGGTAGGGTGGCACACCGTTTAGACCTTCTGGAGGAACTCAGTCAGATTCACAGTACTTTTCACGTCTCTCAGCTGCGAATGTGTTTAGTTGATGATTACGTAGTGGTTCCATTGGAGGATACTTAGGTGGACGACCGCCTGAATGACATTGAGTGACCGGTGGCGATCCCTGACCAGAAGACTAAAACCTTGAGGAACAAGGTTGTGGGTTTGGTAAAGGTGCATTGGCAGCACCGGAAGGATTCTGAGTGGAGATGTGAGTCTGAAGAAGAAATGAGGGAGCATTACCCAGGGTTATTTGTCACAGCAGACTTTGAGGACGAAGTCTGATTCAAGTGAAGGAGAATTGTAACGCCCGAATCGTCAGGTAAAACTCTTAGCAATCTTTTTCCTTCATTTGGACGATTGGGGCTCGAGTACGTGTAACGCCCGCAGATTTAGGCTAGTCAATTTAGAGACAATAAGTGTCAAAATTACTTTTTAATAGAAGATTACTTATAGTATATGTCATAAGGGTTTCGTACATATAAAGAACGCCGAAATCCAAATTATAACGAATAATTTATGACCCGTCGAAGTTTTACGGCAAAACCGGAACGACACCGGGAATCGTAAAAAGTGAATTTACGATAAAATACTTTCTAGCCTTAGTGATCTAAACAAAAGTTGTAGTATACATTAAAACGAGAACGTGCATAAAAAGAATGTCCAAATCTGACTTCGTATGAGGAAATTATGATTTTTCTAAGATTTAGCATAACAGTGCACAGCTCGAAAATTCGAATTTTAGATCGGTCGATTTTTAGCCAAAATAATTTAAACAATAAATGAAGATATCGTTAATAGGATTTAAACAATAAAAAGACAGTCGAAAACGGAGCTCGTATGCAAAAGAGATGGGCGAAGCTTAATCTCTACTCTTCAAGCGCAGCGAATTCGATACAGTTTTGTAAGTCTGAGATAGAATAAGAATTAGTCAACGATGTCTAAATGAAAGTTGTAGTACTTGTAAATACCAATGCGTGGATATAAATAACGTCGAGAATAGAGCTCGTATGCGAAAGATATGGACAAAACTTAGTCTCTACTCTTCAAGCACAGCGAATTCGATACAGTTTTGTAAATCTGAGATACAATGAGAATTAGCCGACGGGGTCTAAATGAATGTAATGCCCGTAGATCAGGGCTAGTCAATTTAGAGACAATAAGCGTCAAAAATGACTTTTTGATAGAAGATTATTTAGGATGAATAATCCTAACTAAATTGTATTATATGTTACAAGGTTTCCGTGCATATAAAGAACGCCAAAATCCGAGTTATAACGAAGAAGTTATGACTTGTTAAAGTTTCGCGACAGAACCAGCACAAAGCTGAATGACGTAAAAAGTGAATTTACGTTAGAGTGATATTTAGCCTTCGCGATCTAAACGAGAATCGAAGATCTCGTTGTTAGTATCAAAGCGATAAAAAGTTAGGCAAGAACGGACGTCAAACGAAGCAGTTATGAATTTATAACGAAATTTTTTGTCCCGGCCCATTAAAAATAAATAATAAAAATAAAGTCAAAATTAGCCGACGGAGTCTAAACGAAGGTTGTAGAGCGTAGTCTCGCCTTCGCGTGGATATAAAGAACATCGAAAACGGAGTTCATATGAAGAAGATATGAATTTCCGAAGTTTATTAAATAATTTTTATTTAAATTTAATTGAAAAATCCGGTATTATCCGAGGACAAGTCATCAGACTCATCCGAAGTACGCCCCGCGTACACCGAGGATGTCGACACTCGCATCAAGTGGCTTCGGATGACGAACGCAGTGACGATTTCGGACCTGTACGCCCCCACGTACTGCGAGGCATCAGCCTCCTATAAATAGGATGCGAGGTGTAACGACCCAATTTTCACGTCCGAAAATTTCGTTTAAAAACATTACTTTAGAAAACATTAGTAATTAAAAACATTGTTTGATCAAACCATAACACAACGTAAACCATGTTTATAAAAAGCCAAACCATACAACCCATCAAAATATCAGAGTACAAATCCCAGTGAATCTCGTAAATGCGGAAACCAGAGTGTGTGCATGATGTGCCGCTACCGCGCCAGCTCCTTCCCCTTCGAAGAAGAGGTACCTGAAACCAAAACTGTAAAACGTAAGCACAAAGCTTAGTGAGTTCCCCCATCGTACCACATACCATACAAACACATAACATACATACTGCCAGGCTATTCTGGGGTGCCTAACTACCCGGTACGGCCATTCTGGGGTGCCGACCTACCCATACGGCCATTCTGGGGTGCCGTCCTACCTGTGTCAAGCCATTCTGGGGTGCTGACTACCCATCGTTCCTAACAACCGATCCTCGGGGACTGGTCCCCTCCTACTACCTCTATCGTATAACATAACAGGCCAGCATACAAACATATCATCACATACTGTCAGACATTTCTGGGGTGTCTGACTACCCTTCGGTCCTAACAACCGAACTCTACTACTATCACATATAACGTATCATGCTAACATATAACATAATAGGTAGTAGCAACCAAGATGATATCACAAAGACAATCATCGAACATACGACTCCTACTGGTGGGCCGGCATTGTGGCCCTAGACCCCCCGCTACTGGAAGGTAACTCACCTCAAAGTAGTTGCTGAACTGATCGGGAACTAACTGACTGCTGCTGCTGCTGCTCCGGAAATCCTCCGGCTGCAATTCCCACAACATACTCAATCAAACACTGCTAACTGTCCTTTGGGTAAAATGACCATTTAACCCCAGGTCTAGCCCTAAGTCAAAGTCAGAGTCAACTTTCAGTTGACCCGACTCGCGGAGTTGGCTCTCCAACTCGCCGAGTTCCTATCCAGACGATTGTCCTGAGTCCCTGTTACTACTCGTCGAGTTAGGCTATGACTCGACGAGTTCTTCTTCTAAACTGACATTCAAGTCCTTCATCCTACTCGCCGAGTTGTATGAACAACTCGTCGAGTTCATCTTCATCCGATGAACACTTATGCGGAGACTCGCCGAGTTGTATGAACA